CTAAGAGACCACAGCTAATCTCAAAACACAGTTGTATTTTTGAAGCCTTGGTCCAGTGGCTCAGCCACAAAGCCACTGAATTCCTGTAATCTGTAAATTGCTGCCACTGCATCTCCAGGTGGTACAAAGAGTGAGGATGCCCCCTGTAATCCCACAGATTGGAGTCAGGTGAACACAAGATCCCCCACAAGGCTTCTCAACCACTAAAAGCAGCTAGCAGTAGCTTAGCTAGCTGCTACTTTTAAACAAGCAGTACTTGTAAGACTAAAGCAGAGGCTAATATATTAATACATAATTTCAGAGGTGCCCCTTGGAAGTGATAAGTATTTTGTTGATGAAAGAAAGGGAAATAGTATACAAGGGGTGAGAGCCACCGTTGCAGCTTTTAAAAATGTGGATACACGTATTTGTCTCTGCTTGCTGAACTTGAAAGAATAAAGGCTGCTTTCTGCAGAGGAAAAAGGCAGGATGCCTCTGTCCTCAGACTTTCTCAAGAGAAGGGAAAAGCTGAACAACATCTACTGTCTCCTCTCTAGTCTCCCATTCTCCTGGAACATGCAGTCCTGATAGCACATTCCCCCATATTTTTCCCAAATATTTGAGAAGTGGTGTGTCTGTTTAGATGGTGGGCAGAAAAGAAGCATGACAGTTCATTGAACGGTGAACTTACCTTAGCTTGCAGGCAGCTGCTGACGACTTGTTGCAAATGTTTTCTGTTATTTACCTAATTTGCTATTTCACTAGTCATGTTCATGCTGCAAAAAGTGTTGTGGTATGCTTACTATCTCACCAGAAAGAGAAGTATGTGGGGAAAGAGCCCCCTGCACCTCACTGGGTTGCAAGGGAGCTTCAACTGGGGAAGACAACATAGAATGTAGGCTGCTGGAGATGAGAATCAGGTTTTCCTAAAGTCTAAAGCAGACTGGCTAAAGGTACTTTACTGAAAAGAATCCAGTCAACTAAAAATAGCTCTGTTTCTATCCCCAAATCATTACTTTTTTTTTTGTAATCAATAATATGCATGTCCTTAAAACCATCACTGCTAAATAAAACTTGAGGTCACAGCAATTTTGCCAAGGTTTATGATATTCCCAGGGATGTGCAGGCATTAATACAGAGATTAAGTTTCAACTCAGATGCTTTCTTTCCTAGCTCCTGGAAAGCACCCAAAGTCCTCAAAGAATATCTTAAGATAGACTTCACAGCAACCTTATTTGCTGAAAGGCTTTCAGGCTGCCTACACACAAGAAGCAGTAGAAGTGCTTTCTAAAGAAACCAACTTGCATTGGAAAATAAATGCTTTCCCCACGCAGAAAAAACAAGTGTAAAAGCAAGCAGTGCTGCTCTAGGCACTGAAATATGGACACAAAGAGATTCAGATAGACCAAGTGAGAGCAGCAGTTCTCTGTGTGTGTCAGTATAATGTAATGCAACAGGACCCTGATCTCTTATTAAGGGCTGTAAGCACTACTGTAATACAAAGAGATCACCTGTTGACAAACAGCTGTGTCTTTAAAACAAGTACCTGACATGAATATAGAAAATAGTTTGCAATTTTATCTATTGTAAAAGATCTGCTGCAAAAAGCAGGTTGTATTTATATATCAGACACAGAAATTCTCTAATTGCAAAAAAAAAAAAAGAAAAGAAAAAAGAAAAAAGGAAAAAGAAATGGCTGAAAGATGAAAAAGGAAACAGAAGAGAACAATAGTGAGGAAAAGAAAAAGAAACTAATAAAATCAGATGAAGAGGAATGGTGTCCCTCTATACCTTCTGTTTGAAAGGACACTGTCCAGCAAACAGCAGGTTCCAGACAGTACATCAGCAGCACTTCCAGTTTTGGGGTCATTTGTGTTATGGCTCAGTCCTATACAGGATGGTGCCACTTGGTCCAGATCCAAGAAAGCACTTGGACTAATGTTCAGTTTTCAGGTTGCAAGCAGTTCCACTGAAGTCAAACTTCTCATGACTTTAAAAGGTGAGCATTTACCTAACCTCGCTGTTGAACGAGTAGCAGGGAATAATAGCGCTAATTACAAATGCCTAAATATCTCCATTCAGGTTGCAAAGGTATTTTTAAACACTTAATTAGGAGCAAGGGCTTTAAACAAGAAAGAATTAGTTTGGATCTGTTTTCTTAAAGTAATGAAATCATCAGCAAAACCCCTGCTCAAGCTGCTTTTTTCCTACATCTTCAGCCATCTCTTCACTATCAAGAGAGCCTGAAGCCTTTCAGAAGGTGTTAAAAAAATAAAAGTAATAATAATTATCTATCCTAAGGCTTAAAATAAAAGCATGAGTAGTGTCAAATATTCACGTGCTCTGCACCTTCAGGTCTCTCATTTCCGCTCTCCCATGATAACTTTACTGGACTGCCATCCTCTCGTTCTGGAGGACTCTTACTGCAGTAGGGTAAGAGCAATTTGAGAATTGGATGCAATGTGGACTGCAGCAAAGAAATCTAAACTCTGGATGAAGGAAATCTGCTCCCCTTTCACTACATCCCTCATACTTATATTGGCCCCTCACTCTGCAGTCTCTGGTTTTCATCTCTCTTAACATATAAGAACTTCTCCATATTATAAGCAGTTCCTTAAGTAGTCCTGGGAGCAGATCAGTCTTCTGCTAGCTCAGCTACAGCTGAATTGGAGGGAATGCACTTCAGCTCATGAAACAGCTTCTGCTATAAGCTTATGGGAACCAATTCCTGAGATTGCATATCTGATACAAAAGCCCTTTCATAAAGATTTTTATCTAACACGTTTAAACAGATCTCTTCATTCATCCTTGAATCAAGAATAAAAGCAATCTGATAAAAAATATATAGGCAATATGCCAAAGCAGAAGCAATAATTCACTGGCCTTGAAATATAGTTCTTTTACTGGAAATATTACCGAGAGAAGGAGCGTGTGTCATCACAAAAGAAAGTCAGGTTTTAGGACACTTTTCAGAGCAGGCTCCGTGTTTGGTTCTTTATTATCGATTCATAAATCTAGAATTTCTTGGCTGCCAGGAGATGGGCAAAGATCACTGAATGAGGACCTTATAAAATCGGTGTGACTTAGAAAACGAACGAAGATCAGAAATAATTTATTTCCACACTACCATGGGCATTCCAAGCTGTTCCCCTTTAGCAACAGACGGTAGAGAGCTAAAACTAAAACCCAGAAACAGCCATATATGAAACACCCTCAATCTTTCCGTCCTTACCTTTGTTTCAATGAACCAACCAACATCCTACAGCCTGTCCTTAATAGACATTTCATCTTATTTGCTGCCCGTTTTCAAACTATAGCCACAACGATTCTGACCTTACCCCTGAGAAAGTTTAGGGCAGTTACTTTTACCAAGTAAGCAAGCGGTCACCTTTTGGACAGAATTCAAGCATCAAAAATTTTAATTCCAAAAAAAACAGTATAACCATTTATGAATAACTGGAAACAGCCTGGTAGAATGGCAGTATAGCTATATTACATTGGCTGTAGCAAACGTCATTACTGCTCTGAAGACAATTTTGCTTTAAGGGCATTATGTTGACTTGATGCGGATGTCCAAAGCCAAAGTTTGAGTCCCAGACTGTGCTTGCATTGTGGGCTGTGCCCTCGTGTGATTTATGTTAACCAATGATAGGCTGTAAAAAATTGGAATTCAAAAATGAGAACTGTTCCTGAGTGCTCTGGGAGAGTGGATTCTTGCTCCTCCTTTACCCCTATTACTGCGTTTAATTGGCACATAAAAAATATGCTCACTTAAAGTTGAGAGTGTGGAGTGTCTCGTAGGCTCTGTATGCCTGGGAACTGTCACAACAAGATTGGTATCCAAACCAAAACATATATGCATTATAATTGATGCAATCAAAACTCAACAAGAGACCAAGCATTATCTGCATGAAGGGCAAGAAGGATGTCATATCACAGAAATATATTGCAAAAACTTTTCTTGACAATACAAAAGGAAGAGCAGAACTTTGCTAAAGCCCAAAGTCAAATAAGCTAGACCATGTTATTCAGAAGTTTTTCTGAATTTCACCCTGCATAACAGAAATGGCCATGTAACGTTTTTGGAGAATATAGATTTTTAGACCAAACCAAAACTCACCTTTTGCTTTTTTTTTTTTCCTTTGATAGTAAAACGTGTTCTGAGATTATAAAAAATAGAATTTGTTTTCACTCAATATTTACTCCACAGAAATGGAGAAAACTCCATGACAAGGGTTGGCTGCCATTAAAACATTTGCAGCAATGTAGATTCACTGCTTTCCCACGCTGTGGTTTGTAAAATGAATTAAAAAAAAAAAAAAATCCTAGAGAGCAAATACTACAACTTATCATCAGAATAAGAGAAAATAAGATTGAAGTGTAAGAACTGAATGATGAAGTAGTATTTTTAAACACTATAATCCACAGGTTTTGTTTTTTTTTTTCCCCCTAACTCAAAGGGGGAACTCTTTACAAGGTCATGTATGATTGAGAAGCAGCTTGTGTTCTGACACAGAACGAATGACAGTCCAGGTAATCCATTCTCACAATGGCTGTCAGAACAAATCTTACCAACTTACCAACTTACCGACTTCAATCAAGTCAAGGAGATTTTCATCTGCTGAAGAACTGGTCTGACCTGTATAATAAAGACTGCTGGGCACAATAAAAGCTCAAGGGCTGAAGCACTCTGAAATCCAAGCATCTAGACATACACATGAGGTAAAATTCTAACCCCAAAATTTCTGCAGATTTCCATGGATGTCAGCATGGCAGGAACTTTCCCAGTGGCAGATTGTAGGATAACCCATTGGCATCACTTGCAGCTACACTGATTTATTCCAGTTTAGGTCCTGTCCTTAAACTTAGGAGGTTGTGGAGTACACATGTGTGACCCAATCCATTATCGTGGCGTGTAGAAATGATAGGAATAAAAGCAGCATAAATGAAGATATTATCATTTAAATAAAATGGAGGGCTGTTATTCTTTATGTTTGTTTCAGTTATCATTCATTTCTTACCTCACAGATACGAGCAAGCTATTGTTCAACTTCAGCTCTCTCAGATTAGGTAGATAGGCACCTACGGGATCAGAATAAAGAATCATCTTGCACACCTGGTGGTAGGATATAAGAAACTTCTGACAATTACAAGTTGAAGCATCTTATTTTACCTACATTTCTCATTTGTTCCTGTCACATCTGTGCCGGACCCCTTCTAAGAAAATTAATGAAGTGATTTCACTTAGAAAATATTACATCCTTTGCATTTTTGCAACATATACGTAGTGTCTGCTTGACAGACTAATTATATTTTTGAAAACCCCCTCTGACAACCCTGATAGAGCACGTTTCCAAAAAGACAACAAAACCTGGCTTCATGGCGACTGCTTTCTTTGTTCTGATTGATAATCCATATTGACTATCAACTGAGTGATAACTCAAACAGCTGAAGATCAAGAACACTTTAGATCATAGCAGTCCATGGATATAAGCCCCTGGCACAGGGCACATTTGCTACTGACAACAGCAAACTTGCCCATTCCCACCAGCAGATTTTACCCATGGCAAGAATCCTCAAGTATGATGTATCACCATGGAGAGGTAGCATGAATTTTAGGCAGACTGGATCACTAAGACCAAGACACTAAAACCTGTTCTCAACAGTAATCTCTTTGGCAAAGGATAATTTAGCATGACATTCTAGCTATCCAACTCTTTGCAAAGGATCAAAAAAGGAATTTATTTTCAAAAAAAAAAAAAAAAAAAAAGGGAGTGGAATCTCACAAGCAAACAAAGAAAACCATGCTGTTTATTCCATTTCCCCAAATAGTGTTTATGGCAAAAACATTTTAATAAATCACGTTTCAGAAGAAGCATTATCTTCATCTAATGCTGTTTGGGAGTGATTATAATCCACATATTGAATTTCGTGCTATACTGCAAATCTTTAATGTCATTTGTTTGTAAAGCTCTTTAGAAAATACTAAAAGCTCACTGTGCATTTCTTTTAGTCTTATTTTTAATAATTTTCCATAACACATAAAAATTACAGCACAAATTACAAACACACCATCCTCATCCTGCAAGGCACACATTTTCATGTCAAATTTTATAAAATACAGCAAAAAAACCCCCCAAACTTCAGAGTCCCAACAGGGGAGATACCACTATCTCAGTTAATTATTCACAGCAGTCATAAGTGCTACTGAGCAAAGACTTCTGCAGACATAAAATCCATGTGCTAAGACAGACCTCAAGGGGAAAAAAAAAAAACAACAGCAAAATGTAGATGATTAAAAAAAATACTATTTTGTTCCTGATAAGAAACCTAAGGCATTAAGAAGCAAACAGCCTTTAAAAGTCCAAGTCTGACAAGAAGATGAATTGAAATGAGTCTTGTTCAAAAGAAAACTTTCTACTGAACACATTTGGGGTTGGTTCAGGAAAAATATGCTATTAAAGGATTCAAGGAGGCCATGGGGTGTGGCAGCCAGTGTTACAGGCTGAAGACATAATTTTCACATCTGGTTATTTCATTACTGTAACAGAATCCTCCATCGCAAACATTTTGTTGTATTTTGGCACCATCGACCCCTGGGCTCTGTAGTAAGTTAAAAAGAAGTGAATGCTACGTGCAGCAGTGTGATAATCTGCCTGGAGGATTTTAATGAAGTATTTCTCTAAAAAGCTTATGATTGCAGTTCTGGTCTGATTGAGAACTGAGAGCAGCATGCAGTGTTCTCTCTCTTCTGTCTTTGACTCCCTTTTACTAAGTAGCCTTTTTGTAGAATCATAGGTTGGAAAAGATCACTAAGATCATCTGGCCCAACCATCAACCCATCCCCACCATGGCCACTGACCCATGAGTCTCAGGGCCATTCCTTGCAACAGTGTATGAGTGTTAAATTCTTCTGCTGTCCTACTCCAGTGGAAAAAAAAAAGCTAAATTAATAGTAGAAAGAAATAAAAATGTAAGGTAGGTGCTTATATCTGATTTTTTTTTTTTAATAAACTTTAAATCAAAATAGGACCCAGGATGAAAATATTTTCATGTAAATGTTAGTTTGGCCCTCCAAAGCAATGTGCATTTGTAGGGAAAAGCCTGACTATGCTATAAAATGAGCATTCCCCTGCAAGCACCTACTTTGGAGCTGCTTGCTTTAGAGAAACAGGCTGCATTTTTCAGATTACTAGCTCCATTTCTGGATAAAAAAAGATACATATACATTCAGCTACATTGCCTTAAGTGCTGAACTTCATGAGCAGAGTAGCAATGCGGGTCTCATTCTGAGCTGCCTTGGTATAGCAGATGACATTTACATAACTCACTAGCACTAAAGAGAAAGCAGGCAAGGTGCTGGCTTTATTATATTCTAAAAGCCACAGTATCTGTATTTATTACATTTGCTGTTTATATAGTAATGCAGTATCTGCAGACAAACCCAAGCTAGCTGTCATCTAGCTACCCGAGGTCATATCTCACAAAAAGACAGAGTTTAACATAAATCCCCTGCTGAAGTATTTCTAATTGCTGGAGAGGTTGCCCAAGACCTGCTGCACTCCTTGCTGTTGTGTTTTCTCAGTGAAGTTTGTTCATACCAGCTAAATTACCAGGCTGGTCAGAGAGGCACTGGATGTCCCTGGAGACACTTGAGGTCAGGCTGGAGGGGCTGTGAGCACCTGATCTATCCTAAGTGTCCCTGTTCATTGCATGAAAGTTGGATCAGATGGCCTTCAGAAGTCCCTTCCAACTCAAACCATTCTATGATTCTATGAATTAAAGGCAGGTTAGGAAGGCACGTGTTGGAGAGCAAATGTCTTTTGCCTTTGCTTCTTACAAAGAAATACTGACAAACAGAGCAGAAGCAAACAGATCAGCCGGTATGAAAAACAACATATGCCTACTTCTGAACCTTTGGCAGAGCTTTTCCTTGATAAAACGCTTTCTGCCGAGCAGCAGTGCAGTGCTGCAGAGTCCCCATGCAGCAAACAGCTGCCTCACCAAAGAGAAGCAACAGTCTCCAGACACATAATCAACTTAGACTGGCTGCCAGAAGGCAACAATTGAATAAGAACCAGAGAAGAGCATTGTGGGTAACTTGATTTGTAGCTATTAAAATCACTTAGAAATAAGAGAACTATGTAGTGTCTTAAATGACTATATCCAACCATTACTTTCAGCAGGGATTTCTACAAACCGGTCATCAAAATGGTCCCAGATCTGTCAGCAATCAAAACTGAAGGGATAAGCTAATAAAAAGGAAATAGTCCATCTGCTCAAATATAAACTGAAGCCTACACACAGTAATAGAGAACAAAAGTAAATCCAAATTCCGCAGAGCTGGATATAAGACTTGCCAGTGAGGTTCAGTGCTTTGCCTGTCATTCAGCAAGGTGCAGTGAGAACAAACAGCTACAGATTTCAGCAGCTATCCTGCATCCCACAAAGATACTCAAACTCAAGTTCTGGCACGAAGCTTTTCATTATTCTAACACCAATCACAGGAAACCATTTTAACATTGGTCTTTTAGTGTTTAAGCCTCCACCCTGTCCCTAAGAAATACAACTATTCCTTCCCCCTATATAACACCTCTGTGTAAAGGCTGTCCTGACAAACTGGGAAAGGGTGAAACACAGTGCTTCCAAGTTCAGCCCAAAGTACAATGCTAACAAAAAAACTCTCAAAGTGTTTAAAACCACTCTGGAAATTTTGCTAAGAAGATGCAGGATGTCAATGCTTGTGATATACTCACAACCTCTCCAGATATCTCTATTGCTCGTCACAGTAGAAAAGCTTTCCCTTCTGTCAGGCTCGAACTTCCCTCATTGCGGTTGGTCTGTTCCTTACTCCACTCACTCCACTTATCTAGCTCCCTGTGAACAGGAACCTGTTTGGCAGTGCACTGATTCAGGGGAGATAGCTGGCACAAAGTCAGCCTTGCTTACACCACTCATACTGAAGGTGCAAACTGTCCTGTCATACCCCTTGATGTTTCATTAGTCTCAAAAGCAGTGGGGATCTGCAGCTGCTGTTTTTTTTTACAGCCCCTAAAGTCCAACTCCTGCTTCAAAGTGGGATATAAGATGGAAATCGTTTGCAATGTGGGAACAGTGCTCTGTATTTTGTAAAAGCTGCAAAAACTTATTCAAAGAAAGCAGAAGTAAAGGGATTTATTCCTGTAATGGGAAGGAAAGGGAAGTGCAGAGGAAATGTGAGAAAAAAGAGATTTAAATTAACTTGTAAATTAACTTGTTCTGCTCTAACAACACTTCACAAATCCTACAAGATTAAGTGCAGCATTTCTGTATGAGCATGTGAGGAATAAAGGACAGTGAGGTAAAGTTCAAAAGAGGAAATGGAAGGGACTACACGTTTAAGATAATACCACAATACAGAAGTTACAGATAAGGTAAGACTTTTTGCTAGCTTGTCATAGCTAATGCATAATGGCATGGGAATGGGAACACCGCTTTGGAGCACTGGTAGAAATGGTGTAATAAGATTTTCTTATCAACCAGAGGAAACAAGACTGAATAGATTATATACTCTGAAAGAAACAGATGCAATTTGACTTAAATTACCAAAATGTCCATCAAAAATAAACCTGTCTGCAAAATAAACTGAATAATCGATACACATCATAGAATCACAGAATCATTCAGGTTGGTAAAGATTTCTAAGATCATCCAATTGTCCACCTACCACCAATGTTGCCCACTAAATCATATTCCTTACTACCACATCTGCACGTTTATTGAGCACCTACAGGGACAGTGACTCCACCACCTCCCTGGGCAGCCTGTGCCAGTGTAATCCTTTGGAGAATTATTTCCTAACACCCAGCCTGAACCTTCCCTAGTGGAACTTGAGGCCATCCATAAAATGGCTGTGAAGTTCAAAACAAAAGCCCCCTTCATGTACTCCCTTTAACTATTCTTGATATCAGAAGGCCCAAAGATATTGGACTGGCTATTACATTATTGTCACTTGCACACCTTGGTGCTCTGCACGGGAACTGCTTGTCTGAAAATACCAGCACCAGCTCTTGGGGGTGCAACTCCCTTTGGTACATAAAATATTGCCCTGCAATAGTTAGCTTCAGTGAAGACAAAGATGGACTTGGCTGTGACAGGAGCACACAGGTTGCTTTCAGAAATGCCTTCCAGCACTGGAAGAAAGGAACGTTGCACGCTCTCAGTGTTGACACTGCTATTGAAGAAATTCCTCCACTACTTCCTTACTTCTCTTGAGCAGAGATGATGACACAGAGGTGAATTACAAGCATTCAGAGCCTCCTGGGGCTCATCAAGTGATGCGTCTAGAGGAGCTTCCTCAAGCACAGCTTGATGAGGCAGCACAGGAAGCAAATGCAGGAGACTGGCAGCATTGGCAGCCTGATACCACTAGTGATTTCCCAGCCACAGGGGAATCTTTCAGCGGAGACAAACTGAACTTTGGCTACTCTGTCTCACTACAGTAGCATCAAATACTCTAGAGGGCAACTTAATCAGTAAATGCTCCTTTAAGTCCTTGAGGCATGTCATGAGGAATCTTTCAAATTAATTTGGCATTAGACAGAAGTCACAGATTGGTTTAGGTTGGGGGGGCCTTAATGATCATCGAGCTGTATCCTTCTGCCATTGGCAGGGCTGCCACCCACCAGATCAGGCTTCCCAGGGCATCACCCAACCTGGCTTTCAACTCCTCCAGGGATGGGGCATCCACAGCTTCTCTGGGCAATCTGTTCCAGCGCCTCACCAGTACTTCTCTTTGTCCTACTACTTATCATATCATGTAAAAAGTCAGCCACCCTCCTGCTTGTAGCCTCCCTTCAAGTACTGGAAGGCCACAATGAGGTCTACTTGGAGCTTCTCCTTCTCCGAGCTAAACAAGCCCAGCTCCATCAACCTTTCTTCATAGGAGAGGTGCTCCAGCCCTTTGAGCATCTTTATAGCCCTAAATGGTGTCACCTCTCCATTGCTGTAGCGTTCAGTCTTAGAGTCTCACAGAAGAAAACAGTAATCAAGAAATGAGAGATACCAGGAAGAATATGTTTCAAGAGCTCTCAAGCACAGTAGTGCTTTACATTTACATACAGCTTCCAATTCCCCAGTCCTGATAAAATACAATAAGGGAAAATTTGAGAAAGAATTGTTTTCTTACCAAAGTTCCCCAAGCTGCTCTCTCTTGTATCTACTTGCATCTCCAGGGCCTTTACTTGCTGCAGATCATCCATCCCTGTCAAAGCTTTCTGTAAAAATAAGCAGGGATATATATATATATTCTCACACAATGAGCCAGATGATACAGGAACAAAAAGGTGTAGAAAGGTTTTCAACCAGTGCTATGTCAGCACGTAGTCCAGGTCAAAACAGCTAGACATATGATAACATTAAAATAAATGCACTATTCAAAGAGCTTTCTTTCTAGCAGCTCTGAATTGTTTCAGCTTCATGTAACTTCTACAGTGCTCACAAAGTCAAGGCGGGTCACTACATTCAAGTTGCAAATCAACAAAAGATTACATGCCAATTAACTTCATTTAAACAACATGCCCACACTAAGATTTGTGTAATATTTTACTAATCCTCAGAAGATAAGAAACTGTACCCTTGGTGTCACCAGTGATCAAAAAGGTGCTAGACAGTAAAACTCAATAAAACACAGTGCTTAGCTTTTAAATCCAAAACTACCAAAAAGAAAACAAGATTTCAGCTCAAGACAATCATAATATGATTGCATTTCTCAAGGCACACAACACCAATTGCAAGAATTACAAATTTCTTCGAAAAGAACTGATCAATGCCAAAGGAGGTCTCCAAAACCTTTCATTATTTCTGCAAAATCTCTGTGATGGGGTCAACCACTGTATTAAGCAAGGGTGTGTGTGTGTGTACAAGCAGCTATCACAGGTTCTTTCCTTAAATATCTAGAAATTGGCATTGATACATTCATGCAGATTTTGCTCTGCCTTTCACCACTCTATTTAACATGAAGGAACAAAGTCACTCAATGACATCTACGTGTAGGAAATAAGTTTTCTTACAACTAGAAACTCAGAACACACTTTAGTTTGTTTTCCTTTGGAGGTTAACACTAATATAGGGGAAATGATTCATTAGAAGGGAATTTGTGTAGGATCACCTGTGTATAGGAGTTTTTGAGGGGAAGAATAGCCACAAGAACATCTAGATCATTTCTGTAGGGAAAAACAGCAGTGGCAACATTCCCACTCATCAAGTAGAATTCATACTGCTCACAATTGATCAGTTTCATTCACTCTAATGGCTCTACACTCTCTAACAAACAAGGGACCGAAACACTCTAAGTGGAACTGAGATGACAACTTACAAGGGCATCGTATCAAGACCAGGGTTGATGAAACAGCTGAGCATCACTCTTTAAAAAAAAAAACAAACCTCACACCCTGTGTAAGGCTTTGAGTTAGATTCCTCAGAAACAGAATTATCCAAAGTCTTCACCTGCTTTCCAATCACCTAAAGAAACTGTGCTTAAAATTATTGTTAATCTGAACTTTTAACTGATTTTAAGCTTCTGGCCTTCCTTGCCTTTACAGTAAGGCGTGATAAACAAAGATCTAAGGCAAAAATACCCCAGACCTCAGCAGCATCCAGGAGTATGCTTTCTAACCCCAGACACAGACTGCAAAGGCAGCAAGCATGCCTACTATGGACGGCTTTCTTCCCCAAGTAAACATAAGGTCCTTTACTACAGTCCGTATTTTGCAGTCATCCTTTTCAGCAGACAACACTATTTGTCAGGTAGCATGAGAGCACGTGAGAAATGAGAGCTAGCTGACATCCTGGCACACATCCACACACTCAAATTGCTGGGTTTGGATGTAATCTCATTGTTATGAAAGGCAACTCCTTCTGACAAATACCTCCCTCGTCCATGTCAAAATAGCCTCAATAGCCCACTTTATTAAAAGACTGAATAGAAAGTGGTTCCAGAACAATAACCTTTGGGACATGCACTTTATCAGTAAAGCAGCAGAAGGCCCTGGCGCCATGCAGAGCCTTTGCCTTTCTCCATTGCTCCCTTCAAACTATCCTTCCCCTCACCATATCCCAGACAGCCTCCTTTCACTACTCTGACCACAAGAGATGCACTTCTGCTCCTTGTCCTCCTCTTTCAGAATCAAAGAATAAAAGCCACACAAGGTTATATTTTCCTCTTCTAGATTTCCCTATTCTTTCTCTTCCCATATGGGGCTACCAGACTTTGTTCTCCTTTTCCTCTTCCAGATCCACCATTTGTTCTCTTCCCCCAGCTGAGAGATGAGCCACTTATTTCACCAACATTTTGTGCTGCAACAAGCAGAGTCGTGGCCCCAGCAGTGTATAAGGTTGTTAACTGCCACCTCTGGCTCTTTGAACTATAGATAGCTGCTTGAAGCATGTGTTAAACAAATGCACCAGACCCCATCTGTTCATAGTTCCCACTTCCCTATGCCACTTTTCCAACAATCACCAGGAAAAGCACACTTTTTCCTGCTGATGGAGTTCTTCGAAAGTTTGAAACTGACAGGCTGTGGAATGCAAAAGCCATCATACTATGTGAAAGTAACACAAAATGAGGATATGAGCTCATTACAAAGGCTCTAGAAGCACAAGGAGCCCAGGTGTGGCTGAGAGCTGGTTAGCAAGCAAAGGGTCAGGGCAGAAGAAGGTTCCTAGGGAGAACAGCTGGGACACTCCTACTCCCCAGGCACCTTTCCTAGCATAGTGGTGCAGACGGAGGGGGTCTCAGAAGTCACAACCACAATTCTAGCACCAAGAAAGGAGGGAGTAAAGGAAGGACATGGAAGCATTTAAAATAAGACGATAATAAGGACCTTCCTTTTACATTGCTGTTTGATATCAATGCACAGGAACCTTCAGCAAAGTTTAAAAGGAGGGATACACAGAAGGAATTTGACTGCTGTTAGGCTGTTAAAAAAAAAAAATCAAAGCGAAACACACTGCCAAGGATGATCAGATTGGACAGAGGGACGTCTGGCGCCGTGTGAGTGACAAGCTGTGCTAAGGCACTATGCAGCCCTTCACTCCAAGGTTGTGCCAGCTCTAGGACAAGCTCCTGCCCTAGTTCAGGAGTGCCACTGTGGTGTCAAGTAATGGCTGTCTGCCCAAAACTCAAAAGGCTGTGCTGGCAGCCAGAGACGGGACTCCTGCCTGTGCCCCAGGAACGCTTAAGCCATGAAGGTGCTGTGCCATCTAGGGTTTCCTCCTGTTGTTTACAGCTGTAAAGCTTACAAAAAGAGACCAAGGATCTCTTGGATGCAGAGCTAGATTTACATCAGAAAGATGACCTGAAAAAGCTAATTATAATTCCAGGTTGACTTCTGGTTTCCAGAGAGGATTCTGCCTGCCACCTACCCACTGAGGTGGGTACTGGTTAGATAGAGGAGGCAGATGTTTTCTGAAGAATCAAACAGCAAAATCTTTCTTGCACATGATGTTCAAGAATGTCATCTGACAATCTTAAACCTTCTTATTTGGAAGAATAAATTCCTATGGAAAAGCACAACACAATTCCTTGAAGAATTAGTGATAAGTAAAAAAAAAGACAGCCAAAGTTCATTTTATGTTTTTACACCTCCTTTGAAAAAGAGTAAAACTTTTTTCACGAGATCATGCAAAAAACTATTGGCAGCTAGTTTAGCCAGCAGTTTAAGAAGCAACTCCATAACAGCTCACAAAGCACTCCCATCATGCAAAACGTCTGGCCAACACCTAACTGAAGAGCATGTGCCCATCTGGAAAGCTTCTTGTCAGTCAGAAGAGAAAAGCCACAAGCATTCTATAAAAAACTGCAAGTGCAATGCTTTTCTGTTCGTAGAGCTTCCCTATCTGGGAATGCTGGGAAAGTCACCTGGGGATACTGGGAAATCCGGTTTGAGTCCCACCTGCAACTCCCCGTGAATTCCTTAATTGGAAATAGTATCTGTGCAATTAAAGCTGGTGCACACAACTGATTTCTAGCTCCTCGCTGGATTTTTCACATGCTCCAAGAAAAGCAGAGCTGTTGCTGAAAAGCATGTTGCACACAGCTGCCTGAGAAGTGTTTCCAGCTGTGCGCTCATTTTGCTGATGCTGGTTAATTTGGCTAGCACAGGAATTCCTGAGCAGTGAGCTTATTTTCTTCTAATACCACACCTGTATGCAAATATCATTTTCATGTCTATTCATGCGTTCACTGCTTTTCACGGGGATTTTATTTCAGATTCCCAACCCAAGAATCATCTCCCCCTGCACAGGAAAATAACGCTGCTGCAAGTGTGACAACTCCTATTTTTTCTAAGAAGAAGATTACAAGAACATTAACAAGGTTTGAAGTACTGGGATCTTCTCAGCTGGTATGAAAACAACAGTGAAGAAACGACTGAAGTTTAAATGGAATTGGATACTTCAGCAAAGATGCCTTTTTTCTCATGCTAAAGCTCCAAGTCACACTAACAGTTGTACATGCACAGGTCCCAGTTTTGTCTCGCCATCGCTGGCTCAGCTCCTCGATGACCCATCCTGGGGATTCAAAGCACCGACGCTTTTCCTTTCTCAATTGCTAACCAGGATCTGATGCTACAGGCTGCTAAGAGCTCTCTCTTACTATCATAAGCTTCAAAGGAAATGTGGGGCTTGTGGGAGGTTTGGTGATTTCTCAGAAATAGCCTGTATCATTCCTACAGGAAGAAACACAAGCTCAGGTCCAACTCTCCTGAATTAATATGCACAATATCATAAATACACCAATTTTTGCTTCAGACTTAAAGATTTACATTTCCCACACACAGATATACAAAATATACCACAGTATGAATTCCTGTTCCTAATCTAACAACTAGGTGCAGAGTAAGTGGCTGCATTTCAACATTGTGTCACTAAACACAATTCAAGACTATTAAGTTAGTTAAGCAGCTGTTACTATATGCAAATGAAAATCTGTTTTTAATAAAAGGCATACATATGTGTGTAAGTACATGCATATAAATATATTCCTGACATGAAAATTTGAACATAAAACATCAGATGTTTATGTAGCAGGATATATATAAGCTTTCATTGGAGTAAAGGTTTTAATATTAGGATAAGAACATATCAAAGGAAAGCTCTGAAAGTAAATGAGGCTTTGTAACTACTTTCCTATTCACAGTATGCTTACTGCTATCTGTCATCTCAAGCAATCTGATCTAATGCAGCAACTAGCTGTGCTTTCAATAGAAGATTGAACTAGAAGACCTCCAGAGGTCCCTTTGAACTTCTTTGGTTTTAAATCATTATAAACGGTTACCCAATTCTAGGCAAGGAATCAGAAGACCCAAATTAAAACAGTTATGCCCATCTCCTGACTCCACATATCACAAATTATCAAGATTTTGCACCTGCTCCCTTATCTCCAGTTTCTTCTCAGATTTATACAATTCACAACCATGAGGAAAACTTTCTGCCAAGCAAAAAGGGAAGCAATTGAGACATTTCAGTGTGAATCCAATCTGTTGTTCCAGGACCCTCCAAGATTTTCTTCTCCCCACGAGAACAAGTGCATACCATATGAAACATACCCTACAACAAAACTAAACACCACTTCCGAACACGTGTTCCCAAGTTTAGAAAGCATGATTTCTTGGAGCAGGATCAATAAACAGTGCAATGAGATGAACGTTGCCTTTCTTCTCTGAAGACCACATACAAATCATGGTGATAACAAAAGCTGAGGAACTGATTAGTTTTGAGAACACGACAATGTCTGGAAGATCATTTGTAAAATGAGTTTGTTCTGTGAATTTTATTGCTTGTTGTGCAAGTCAGAAAGAGGTTTTGTTTCCAAAATGCAAGCAGGAGGTGTTGGGGGGCTCAATGAGTAAGAACTGGATTAAAGAAAGGTGAGACTCTGAATTTCAGGTCCACTTATTTAACGGTAAATCTGTGTATTCCCCATTAAAATCTAGTTTTCAGAATAAAGAGAGAATGGGGAAGAATTTGTTCATGTTAACACTCTATAGCATATGACAACACATAAGCACAACACAAGCAAAGCCAAAGAACAGAGCTGTAAGGACATGTACAGGACACGTAAAAAATGGAAAAAGCAAAGACTACCTATTGATACAGATGAAGATTAAAGGGCATAACAGAAAATTGCTATCGATACTAGTGGAAAGAATAAAAAGACCAGCGAATGATACCAGCCCTAGCATCAAACACTTTCAACCTGTAGCTTAGATGAAGAGTAATCAAATGCAGAAGGACAAAGTGTGACACTACAGCAGGAGAGATTCTAGAAAGCAAAGAAAAAAACACTGAAGATGATATTCACCTGAGCAGAATATGGAATCACAAAGGATTTCAAAGTGAACATTATGCTGGAATGAGGTCATAGAAAACCACAAAGCCCATAGAGAAAAAGCATAAGATTTAAGCAAGGTGATAGTCTGATGTGAAGAGGAAGAGAATAGCAAGGGAGAGTTTTGGAGTAGTTGTCTGTCTCTTGTGCTATGGAGTTCAATAAGGCAAAAAAAAAAAAAAAAAAAAAAAAAAAAAAAAAGTAGGGCCTATGTCCTTACCTTTACAGTATAACTTTAATAAGCTTGTATTTTAAAAACCTGTTCGTTCCTTCTTAGAGCCCTTCAGTGAATACAATTAATAACTTCTAAAATATCACAGCTATTAAAAGACAAGCAAGAAGACATTGCAAGTGTGTTGATTCAAGCAGAAGAACCTTTCAGACCACTTGGTTATCAATGGCATGTGGTTCCTATACAAACAGGCACGTGATTGTTCTTCAGACTGAAGTGGTTGGACAGTATACCTATTTTTGTGTTTCAAAAAGCAGAACTGAATCCATGGAAGCAGCAATTTCAGTTTGATCAGTGTAAAGGTCAAATAATAAATAAATCGGACATGTTATTAAAATAAGCCATAAGCACTGTTAATGTTTCCTTGACAATGTCATATAGTTTTTCCTCTCAACAGGAAGTATCTCAGCTATGCCAACACAAATGTCAGCTTCCAGAGCCAGGAGATAACTGCATCCAGAAAAATTAGTAGGACAGCATGCATCCATTTAAAAGAGTGAATTCCTTACAAATGTTAGTGCACATGACCTAAGAGTGGCAAGAGTCAATGAAGATCAAGAATTCATTTATTATATGAATTATAAAGCTTTTCTTCCATTACTAAGAAAAATTTGAAACTGCTGGAGAATTTAACTTCTGATCTGTATAAAAAAAAAAATACAACAAAACAATGAAATGCAGTTTCTTGTGATATGGGTAGCATTGCCTTTCTGCTTATAACCAATCATGAACTAACAGGTTCAGAAAGAGAAAAAACCATACCAACTAAAGAGCTTTCTAGGGGCTTCATTCAGAGTTTATTGAAATCAAAGGGCAACTATTTTGATTGCTCTAATGGGCTTCATTTCATATCCTAAGATATCAGACTAATACGTGAGCTTCCCATTGGGCTTATAAAGGGTACAGACGGCCACAAACATATTACTCTGGTCAAACTCCATATCAGGCTTTAAAAAAAGACTAATAAGTTGTCAGCAGTTGACAGGAACCAAAGGAAAGTAAATGGGGTAGATCACAAGGCCACATATCAAACTTTATTTCCAGAAAGTTTAAAATATACCCTCTGCAGAAAGTGGTGTTCTTAGGAGAAGACTTGGGTACCACTGGAAGAGACATTCTGAGAACAAGTAGCTACCTAGGCTCCTGTGCATAGTCAAAACAGTGGTTGGCATATATTGAGAAAATCATGTAAACCTGCAGTCTGATGTGAGCTGGGCCCCTGCAGAACGTGAATGCACACGGGATTATGGATGTGGAACACTGTCCTGCTCTCTGGGAGCATCTGAAGCACAGCCTTGCCCCCAGCTGTCTTTCACAGACTCCTACCCAGCTCTGTTGCACAGAAAGCTGCACCTTCCTCCTTCTAACTTCTGCTCCTAGCTCTCTTTCCCTCCAGCAGGAATAAGTGAGCTTATTTTCCCAGCTCTTAGCTCCCAAGGGATTTTACTCTTAATTAGTATTGAGCAAATATAGCACAATATACAACCAAGATCTCCTTCGCTGGAGATTTCAGCATGTTACTCTCATTCAAGAAGCTGCATGCCAAAAATCGCTTCCCTCTGGTCAAAAAGGGACACGGCTTTCAAAAGTGCTTTGAAAACTCACACTTTGATAAATGGAGGAAGTATTTATAACGCTTGCAGAATATTTTAGTTGGCTTCTTAGGAAGACAGAGGATTTCACTAATTCAGAACAAAAGTTAAGCTTTTTAAGTTATACTTTCAATCCGTAGAAAAGGTTCATGTAAAAAGCTTTTTCTAATGCTAAGATTCAAGGTACTTCAGAAAGCTTTAATGAGATCTCTTTTAAATTATAATTACATTACCCCATGCACTTCACGCTGCTTCAAGGAAGTTGACAATAAAGACAGCAGCATTCATGCTGGCCATATTTTTGATATGAAACAAGGTGAAAGGACAAGCATTTGATAAATTTCCTTAAGACAGAATTCATTTTATGCAGAAGCCTAGCTGCCAGATATTCAATGCAACAATCTGCAATCATCACAAGGGCTGCTGGAAGGTTAAGCTAATACAGCACTTTATATGCCAGTTTCCTTCTTCTACTTCATTAAAAAGTTGGATATCAACTCACCAGTTTCCTGGGGGAAAGGTATTCATCCATAAGTAGTTCTCCATCATCTTTAATCAGTGGACTGGGATTTAGGTTACCTCGCCAACTCAAGTCAGTCACCCGAACTGTAGCTGAGGCTGGACGAGAAGCTCTGCCAGGATTCCACCTCTGGTCCTTCTTCATATGCTTTGGACAAAAGGATAATAAAAGGTCTGATTTTTTTTCCCTATGTTTATTATTTTCCCTTCAGCAAAAAATAATTTGACTCCTGGTGCAAGCTAGCAAGTAGCTGTAAAGACAGAGGTTTTCCTAACCAGAAAAAAAAATTAAAAAAATCAGCGCAATGCATCACGTAACATGCATTCTTCCTCTTCTTCATCTTCTAGAGCTAGTCATAGAATCATAATAGTTGGAAAAGACCTCTAAGACCATCTAGTCCAACTGCCCATTAACCACAAAGACTGCAAACTAAACCGCATCCTTAAGTACCACATCTCCATGGTTCCTGAACACCTCCAGGGGCAGTGACTCTGCTACCTCCCCATGGAATCTACTCCAACACTTCACCACTCTTTCTGAGAAGCCTTTCTAATATCCAGCCTGAACATCTGCCAATTCAACTTGAGGCCATTCACTCTCATTCTCTTGATGCTACCTGGTAGAAGAGGCCTATCTCAACCTCACCACAACCTCCTGTCAGGTTGTTGCAGAGGGCAATTAGGTCTCCCCCGAGCCTCCTCCAGACAGAACAATACCAGTTCCCTCAGCCACTCCTCATGAGGCTTGATGGAATCAAGTGTAAGACTTGACAACCCTACCTCTATCAACTTACACTCTAAGCTTTTACAGCTGCACACCAATGGCTTTGTACAAGTTACTCAAGAACAGTAAACTCAGGACACTACTGCTCTCCAGTCTTCCCATTACTCTCCTTGCCCTTCTCTGGTAGCTGAGAACTTCCCATTCAAATCAGCCTGCTTTTTACCCATATAGAAACTATCCTTGTAGAAACTCAACTCACAGCAAAACTCTGCTGGGCTTCAGGGTTGAAGCGTGAGCATCAAGAGACATCGCTGCTTTTCTCCAGTCTCTGCCCCAAGGCAGCACGTATAGCAGCTGTATACATTTCCTGTCCTAAATTAAACAGACTTGCACTGTTACTGACCGCCTACTGGATCATTCAGGCCAGTGACTGTTACTGACTGTTAGTTGTGACAGAAGTCTTTGGAAAATTAAAATATAATTTAAACAGATCTGCTTGTGAGTTAGGTGAGGAATCAAATCCAGATTTTAAAGACAAAACGCTTCAGAAGAGTGCATTCTTCAATTTCCAAATCTATTCCTTTTACAGAAATATTAACTAACTTTGAAATACAAGAATAAGCACACACCTACCAATTGCAGACAACAAGCAATCAGTTGTACCCAAATGGTACAAGCATCACTATGATTTATACAGCCATTTACTTCTACTTGGCAGCAATGAAGCATCACAGCTGGAAACGTTGCTGTATCAACAATAGGCTAGACTAGAGAAAAGCCTTCTCACTCGGCCATCGAACACCTGCAGCTTTCTCTGGCTCTCCACTGTGAGGCAATACCCATTCTTAGTGCTGGAAAAGTAATTAAATAATCAAGGTAATCATAACTGGCTGATAAAGTTTCACTGGCAGCTCAGACCTACCTTCACCTTCATACTAATAAATCGTTAAACGTGGAAGTAATTTCAGGCAGGAAAAACAGAAGAAACTGACTGCTCAGCTGGCAATTTCTATTCAAGATCTTAGAGAGGCTGGTGAGAGAGGTTTACTTCAAAGGAACTCCTCATCTCCTCTTACTGCTCACATACAGTCAAAAGTCTTCATCTCGGCACGGGCAAGGGAAACATGAAAGACTCAGAGCAGCCAAAGAGAACAGCAGCTTCCCATTAAGAAGAAAATGGATCTCCCAGTACCAGACGTCTTAGCTTTTGGGAAAAAAATACCTAGCCTATTCACTTCTAACACCTGCTTCTTTCTCCAAATAATTCCAGAATTTCTAGGGTCCTTTCCTGTATGTTCCTTGGAGCGGGTCTTTATGATTTAGTCATTATATGGAGTTGTAACAATCATCCAAGGAAATTAAAAAAAAAAAACTTACATGATACAGAGGTCTTCTGGTGCTGACTCTATTTTTCTGATATTGCTTTTGCTCAAGAACTGACTTGGATTAGAGCATCTGCTAAACAAACACTGGAATACTTGCCAATTATAAAAGATTTGTTTGGGATCATGTGTAATACTGTTGATTCCTTCTAATTGAAGCAAGTATCATTCTTACCCAGAGATAATCCTGCATGTTACTGGAGCCAGGTGGATCAATACTCAGAAATTACTGATGTAACACCTGAGTACAAAATGCACGTAACAGCAAGACTGTGTAGATTAGGGCTGTAAAGAGTTAATACACTTGCATAAGACAAATTATTGTTCTCCTTCCTTCAGTCCATTGCTATTACACTTCAGAATGCTCTCCTATCTCTGAAATATGTGTTGATACAGCACTTATTTATGGTTTGACAAGCAGATCAATTTGTGGCTGAAGACCTGAAGTAACACTTCCAAATCTATATTTCCTGCTATCGATCCAGAGCTTGTAATTATTGTAACAATGGATTAGTAAGAGAAAAGTATTTTCATCAGAAATTTTCTGGGAAGGTATTGAGTTACTGTCAGCAAACAAAGCAAATCTTTTGAACATGCTTCCATGTTCAATGCTTCCATGTTCGTGCAATGCAAAACTTTATCCAGAGAATTTCCTCCTGACTATGGAGGAAAATAACACCTGCATTCTTTTTCTATAGCCCTCATTTTGAAGGAGTCCTAATAGTGAGGTGCCAACCTTATACAAAAATCCACAAGCCTCCAAGCCTCTGGCATGGTGTAGGAGCCACAAGGGGTCTGGCACACCACGTGCCTTCCTGCAGATAGAGTCAGGCTCTACACCATTTTCAGTCCTGCCTGAGGTGGTTAAAATCCTTCCAGTAAAACCATCTCACCCACTCATTTATAATACTAATAAATAAATGAGAAATCTGTGGCTTTGTCAAACACACTGGCTGAAAAACCAGTGACCCAAAGTAGTGTTGGCCACAGGGAACGGTGCACAGGAGACTGGAAAGATTTCATTGTCATTGAAGAGGTCTGAAAAGTAATCTGAACCTGAAGATTCATTCCACAGAATAGATGGCTGCATTGGATAAACTTTGAATATGTATGCAGAATGGTAATGCAGAACATTCCTGCAAGACTGTGGGACTGAGAAGGATGAAAATTGATAGCACCAAAAAAAAAACCTTCAAAGAAATCAGTGGGAAAGCAAAGCAACGCCAACAAGCAGTTGGGAGAGTCAGGGAAAGATTCAATAGTTGAAACAGAACGGATTTTGTCCTGCACATGAACACTGATAATAAAAGACTGAAAGAAATCAGCAGATTAATGTTTTCAGGATTTGCATTGGGGCTCTTGATTTAGCAGTCTCCTCCTTGCAGATAACTGGAAGCAGACCATTAGTGAGTGCAGGAGAAATCAATGACTACAGCAGCGAGATGGAAGATCTCAACTTTCTCTCCCCCAAAGTGAGTGCAATAACACTGACCATTACAGCTTGCAGGCGTGTTGTGAAGCTTCATTAAAATCTGTACGACACTTGCTTTCAATATGCTTAGATTAACACTGCAACCAACATTCCCAAGGTCGAAGGAATATTAAGCATATTCAGTTTACCACTTGAAAGCCTCCAACAACAGTGTTGCCAGTTGTCACTCCTCTGATGCCTTTGCACATTGCACTGAAGCCATCAGACAAGCCACCCGGCCCTTTTGCAATACCAAGCCAACCGTAAACCAAAAACAAATCAGTCTTTTACCATCTCTCAGAGCTCCCAAGAGTCCTCATAGCCCGAGTGATTTCAGGCTGTATACTAGAAAACCAGGACAGTGGGTTTCTACCTGTCTTTTCTCTGCTTTGGCTTCCATAATTCCTCTTTCCCAACTCCTAGCAAGATTCTGTTACTGATTTTAGGTTCTTCTAGCCCCAAACAAAGGAGGATGACATCTCATACAAAAATAAACCTCTACTCCCTTAGACCAGCTTCTAAGACAGTATTCTCTCTTGGTCCTTGGCTAACCATGATGTCCCAATGCTCCTCTGTACAGTGTGTCATCTCAGGTAGGGTACTGCAATAACATCATCAGCCAAAACCTTCTCAGGAAGAAAAACATTTCAGAACCATTTGCCACTCCTTAATGAGAGGAAACTCATAGTGAAGACTTTGCTTTCAGTTGCCTTGTATTATGCAATTTTTGTTTAATCCAGAACCAGAGATAACAGTGGTGCCCATACTGTTACCACAAAGGATTTGTTGTTTATTAAGGATTTGACAAAGGTCTGGCTTATAACGGCCACTCACGGTTCCCTTTGGTCTCATAAGTATAACTCTGTGCAAGTGCACTACAGATAACCTCTTCTGGAAAATAACTACTTGGGCAGCTGGAATTTGCTATGATGTCATCAGGAAACTACTGTTACAATAATCTACTCCTGATGGCAAAAACAGTTCCTACTACTTTTATGCAATATAAAGCATCCTGCAACACACCACTCTATTTTAGCAGGTGTGACATTAATTAAAGTTGAAAAATAAAACATCTGACTTGATATTAACAGGAGTCTTTCATTTTTACATGGGTGATACTGTATTAATCTTCTGTTTTCATTAAACAGGAGGTGGTAAAATGCACTTCAATGCTGCTATAATAACAGTGGATCACAAAAACACTATAAAGAGCATTTATAAACATTCCACTTGTATGGGCCTTTATAAAAAAAACTAAAGCTTCTATGAGAATGCTGAAATATCAAGGAGAATTCTCTTTCATAATAAAAAACATAATAAGAAATTCAATGACTTCTATGACATTGAATGACTCAAATGTTTACAGTAGCAGTTTTGTTTAACCTTTTGAGAAATTTGAGGCTTTGGGTCACAGAATCACAGAATGACCTGAGTTGGAAGAGACCTCAAGGATGACGAACCTCCAAACTCCCACCACAAGCAGGGTCACCAACCTCCTCATTTAATACTAGACCAGGCTGCCCAGGGCCCCATCCAATCTGGCCTTGGACACCTCCAGGGATGGGGATCCA